GCTATAGTATTTTATTATTTCCATATATTCCGTTTTCACTAGATGCACTTATTTGCTTTTACTAAGATGCTCTTGTATCATATTATGATGCGAAAAAGTATTAAGTTAACCTTAATCTTATGCGTAGATTTATACACTCGAAGCAATACAGTTAGAATCTACATTTGGTTGGCGAAAAAATCTACCGTTTAATTTTCGTATTTCAATATATATTCTCATACCTAAGGGAATAGATTAAGTATGCAAATCACTCTGATTAGCATAATTCTATAAAATTGACTTTTGTTTCACTCTCTAAGTTGCCAAGTATAGCTGACGTTTTTGAATATGTAATACAAGACTCTCAACCTATTTTTAAAAAGATTTCCTATGGACGTTGACTATAGCATTGCTTGTTTTTCCCTACTTCATGGTCTCAGTTCCGTCCGGTGCCTGGACCCCATCTATAATAGCGCCTGCTCAACCGACAAACATGACTAAATCACCCTCTAGCGAGTCCTGCAACCACTCCAGCTCTTCACCTACAATTATTAACACCGCTGTCTCTGTTTCCACAACCTCTTCACATTGCATCTCTAATAACCCTTTGGCCTGGTGTCTACCAGTCTCGAGCGCCGTTACGCCTACTGCTTCCTTATCGCCCATTCCATCTGGACCATTATCGAGTCAACGCTGGTCGCAACTTTCTGGAATGGGCAAGCCCGCACCGAACGCGACACATTTAGCCAGGCCCGTCACAGACAGCTATGATGAACCCTGGGACGCCAGACACATCCGATTTGTATCAGAAATTTCAGGTTAGCAATTTCTCGCACTCATTTTCGGAAGTGTTCACTCGTTTTTAGCCTCCTCTGTATAATTAGCCGCCCTGTTATTCTGTACCATTTTAGACTAGTAATGGAGCGGAATCCGCTATAGTTGTTTCGTAGCCAATAAAGATGTTTTGCACTCAAAATTTGAGTGCTACCTGTTTATATGAGCTTATTAGGAAGGCCTTGATGCCCTTATGCATCAAGCACAAACATCGGCTGATTAATGAACCATTCAGAAAACATTATAGATTTTTTGAAGGTATAAAGACCAAGATGGTGTGGCTTTTTGTGTGGTCGCAGTCTCCTTTCGTTGTATAGAAGTTGTTTGACCTTGTTTTCGCAACTTAGTCATATTAGTAGCAAGACTTAGAGGGACGTACCCAGTCCGGAGTCCATTGTATGCATTATCATTTACAGAGTGGGACCGTGGAGGTGCTACATTCTGAGACATTTCGCCGGCATCGTCAGTTATGTCTCACCATTATTGGCACCACACAACGAAGCGGCAAGTTAAGCCGATACTTTGACCAAATGTGTGCTAAACAGTTGTATCTCTTTTGTCTTTGGGTATTCACATATCCTATATTCTCGTACCAGGCCTTGATTATCACAAATTTTACTTGCTTATTCAAATCTGTTATGATGTGCCCTTTTGAGCGACTTTCATAAGAAATCTCCACACTCCACACTGGCTTTCTCAGCCTCCTCAATCCACTTCACACTTGTGCTGAGAATGTTGATCAGACTCTTCCTTATTGTATCACAGTCCTCCTTCCACAAGTGTTATCAGAGTCTCCCTCTTTCCCCGTAGGATCCGTCTGTTATCTCCCTGGTTCAAGTAATTCACTCCACCCCTACCACTCCATCTGTGCTACTCGAGGCGTTATTTCCCACAGTCTGCGTCTTGGAGACTAACTTGAGGCTAAAGCCCCCGAGTAATTCTCATGGTCAAGCCTTTGCTCCTCTGGCTTCTAAATAGAATAAGAGAGAGAAAGAAAGGGAACAGGAAGAGCCACTGAATAAGAGAAGACTAGACTAAGCTAGAGCTTGTTTTTGAACCTAAAATTGTCAACCAACTCGGGGTTGTTGTAGGACTAATTGATGATACTATAGTTTATTTACGTTGACAAAAGTTATGACCAGATCCGCTCAACTGCTTGTATCACTGTCCCACTTGCATGCATGTAGGACAAGCATACGTCAGCCAAGCCAATAATGGAATGCCTCATTAAGATAGTAAAGTGAGGTATAAGAAGTAAGTAGGATCTTAGCTGGCCACCTTTTCTCGGTTTAGTGTTTTTGGGGGATTTTTCGTGAATAATGGTTTCTGGTACTGACAATGTCCGTCACATTATGAATGAAAGCTCAGCATGGAGTCATCGGGTTCGCAAGATGGTGAGCCAAAGTCTTTTTTGCTTAATTCAACAGACAAAAGCTCAAGACAACCCCCTGCG